TAGCTTCTGCAAAACAGTTTTTTGTTCTCAAAACTTCAAAAACACCCAAAACCTATTTGTTTAGCATTTTTGTTCTCTAAATTTTGGGAAAAAAAATGAGATTTGAGTCAAAGAAATAGAAAACAAATATAGCTTGCGTATTTGTATATATGTTTATATATATACGTATATATATAAATATATTTATATATATACCAATATATATATACACATGTATATAGATATATTTCTATATATACGCATATATATATATATATAAATACGTATAAATATATATATATATATATATATTATGAAATTGTCAATATAAAAATAACTTTTATATATTTTTTTTTATTAATGTTTGAATTACTGTTCAAATATATATTTAGGTTGTTCAAACAGGTTTTACTATTTTCTGTATTGTAAAATTGTTTTTGAAATCATCTAACCAAACAAGTTTTTTATCTCAAAAAATATCAAAACCACTTTCTTAAAACTCTTCTCAAAAACTATTTTCGGATGCTATTTTTTGAAACGCAAACCAAACGGACCCTTAATTCTTCTAAATTCCCAATTCTTACCAAAATAGCTCATGATGTGTTAGTTATTCCCATTTCTACGGTGACATTAGAATTGACTTTTAGCACTGGGGGTCATATTTTAGATTCTTTTCGGAGTTGCCTGGCACCTAAAACAGTTGAGGGTCTCATATGTGCACAAAATTGGTTGCAATCGTCATCCATTGCTTATGACTGTGAAGATGTTTTGGAGGATTCCAAAAGCTATAAACTAGATTCAGGTTTTTATACTTTAATTATTACTTTTTTATTATTTGTTGATGAGTTCTTCGTATTTAATTTATTTCCATACTCTTTTTTATCTTAAAAATAACTATAGAGACAATTACAATTGTTGTTGAGTGAAGAGAGGTAGCAATAAAGGTGGTATTTAACTTTTTTATATCATTTTAGTAATTATAAGAGTATTTGTGTGGTATAATTTATACTATACCATTGTTATTATTATGAATGTTTGAGTTGCTAAAACATGGATTTATTTTTTTTATAGGTTACATGATTTGTGGTGAACTGGAGAACTGCCACAGAAGGAGCAATTATGATTTTAATGTATTTCATACCGTTTAAAATTAAAATAATTGTTATTATATTTCTATACCAATTATGGTGGACTGATGTTCATGTTTTCTTGTGTTTTATTATAATTGTTGTTATATTTGTTTTAAATTTTAGTGTTATTAATTTATTGTGTTGTTAAATTGGTGGATGTTATTTAATTAAATTGTTAAAATGATCCAAAAATTAATAGCTACAAAAGTGTTTACCCGATTAATCGGGTAGGAAGTCGGATAGGAATACCACACCTAATCAGGTAGGATAGGTCAAGAAAAAATTCTTCCACAAAGTATCGGGTAGGAAGACGGAAGAGTATATCTCCTACCCATAGGCTAGGGTGAACACCCCTAAAGTCAATTGGGATTTCAATTCCCAAAATTTCCAAGCATAAGGTAAAGATTGATAAACCAAGATTAAACCACATGTAACCCTTTGAAAAATCATTCACCACTTTGAAAATACGTAAACTGTTATCACTATTGAGAAAGTCCAAGACGACAATATACTTAAGAAGCAATATTTCAGCAAAGAATTAAATCAATATAGATAAATAATTGATCCAAATATAATCAAAGAGCTAATCCATTCAATAGAAAAAGCATAATTGAATCCATAAACAAAATAAATTCTATGATTATTCAGATAAGAAAATATCAACAATAAATTGAAAATGATAAAATAAAAGAGTTTTACTAATTAGAAATCAAATGCATAAATTAAAAATAAATAAAATATCATCTACTATGCAAGTTCATCCCTCGTCATACCTGAGAATGTAGTTACACATAAATATAATGGACAACAAAAATTTCCCAAAAAAATAGAACAAATCAACGACCATCGAAGTGCTCCTGCCTGATCTGCGTCTGCCCCCCAAAGAGAAAGAACAGTCGCCTCCCTCTGTTTTTTCTTCCAGCCGCCCAAGCCAAAGAAAAAGCAAGAGTTAAAAGTCAATGTCCCCTATTTAAAAAAACCCTTTTCCTCCCCTCTTAATTGCAGCCTCTCTATTTCAGCTCCTAAAACCCAATTTGCATGTATTTAGGAAAGCTAAAGGCCAAATTTGCTGAGTGATGGGTCCACATGACAGCAACATCAGTTTTAGCCTTTTTACTTCATGGGTTGCCATCAAAATAAAAATAAATATAAAAATTGAATAATAAAGTCCAAAAAATGTTTAGTGTGAAGTTTAATGTAAAGCCCAATTGTAAATTATCTCTCACCAACCAATAATGCAATATTTAAGATTTAAAATATTATAAAATTATGCTCAAATATATCTCGATGTGAATAGATATTAAATTCAATAATATAAATTATATCTAATTATTTCTATTCACATTTTAACATTTTAATCCAATAATAAGATATTTAGAATGCACTTTTGTACACTCATCATGACCCACTTCTAATTAAATTCCAAGGTCTGCCTAATCTAAAATGGAGACTCAGAAACCTAACAAGATTTGTTGTAGCTGGGGCTATAAGATTTTTGTGTACCTAGTTCTTTTATATGAAATATATTTTATAAGTTTGGACGTTATATATAGTATTAGAGATATTGGCTCTCATACTTTAGAGATCATATAATGTATGCACCCTAAGGTTACAATTCAAGTGATTGGAATTATCCTCTGAAATCTCTTGCAGTTTGGAAAGTAAATGTGAAGTACTTTAAAAACGAGAGTTGTACCTTCTAGACCTGCATTATTCGATGTATGTAATAATCTATGAAAGAGGTAATTGTGCAAATAAAAAATCACAACTTACCCCAAGAAAAATATCCTGCACGAGCAAAGCATAGAAAGCCCAAATTCCGCCATTCAAGAAAAGAAAAAAAGACAGGAAAAATGGCATGTATTCCACACTCTTCATAGTCACCACTGTTCTTAGAAAATGACATTACTATCATGTATATTAGTATTAGTCCTCATATACTTTTATTTGTCCAAATCAATATAAATCATGGGGAAGACCCAGGTGCTATAAAATTAAATTGTCGAAGGTTTATAATTTTATGAACTGAGTTATAATTTCTTAAGTCAAGTTATCATAAAAAAAAAAATATTATGGTCCATCCTAACATTTAGCATCAATCCCAAATACCTCATTTATTATAATTAATTTGACTCAAAAAAATTATAAATTTTAATTTGGCATTAAAAAAAAAGGATTTTTAAAACTACAGTTTTACCCACAAACCATTAGTGGACAGCTTTGAGGAAAGGCCCCAAGACCCCAACATGGCTCCTTTGCTCCTCTACTCTTTTGCTTTTGTGGAAACTATTGCTACATTCTATACACCAAGTCAACAGTAGTAGTAGCCTTATAATCTTTCTCTCTCTCTCTCTCTCTCTATATATATATATCAATGTATATATGCTAATCGAAATTGCATATTATATAAGATACTTTGCAATAAGATTCTTTACAAATTATATAACATACTGTTAGATATATAATTGGCCATATAGATATAGGCTAATGGAAACTGTGTATTATATAAGATACTGATAGATAGATAGTCGGTCATATATATATATATATATATATATATATAGAGAGAGAGAGAGAGAGAGAGAGAGAGATTATAAGGCTACTGAGGTATGTGAAAGGCTGCCTTCTTTCTTTCTTTTTTTCTTTTTTTTTTTTTATTGAAAGGCTACCTTCAAGCACCATAAATTATCTTCTAACCAAAGAGATTGACTTTGTACAAAAAGTCTCTTTTTCCTNTTTTTTCTTTTTTTTTTATTGAATGGCTACCTTCAAGCACCATAAATTATCTTCTAACCAAAGAGATTGACTTTGTATAAAAAGTCTCTTTTTCCAATCAACTAACACATTCATTAATAAGGGAAAAGACTACGACACCGACTATAATCCCATACCAAAACAAATTAAAAGAATTATGGCTTAATCGAATTCAAATTACGATCAATAATATTTAAACAAGTAGGATCGATCATATGTATTCTAACTAATTTCATTCATGAATCCAAGAAATAATTTCTGATGTTGTATGAAATAGTAACTTTGGTAAGATAGCTTTTTTAGGGTTGATAATATTTTTGGTCCCTAAAGTATGCATGTTTTTCTAAGTTTGGTCCCAAAAATATGAATTTTATTAATTTAATCCTTAAAGTCCAATTCATGTCACTTTAGTCTCCAATCAACCAATTTTTTAAGTTTTTTTATGGAAGTGACCAGATGTCATTCTTTGAGACGATATCACGTGACCAACACGTTATCATTCCGTAAAAAACTTTACAGTTCGACTGTGTACAGACCATTTAAACATGAATTGAATACTTCAAGGACCAAATTGATAAAAATGATAATTTAAGAACTAAACTGACAAAATGTGCATATTTTAGAGACTAAAAGTGTTACTAATCGAAATAATTTATACAATTAAAGCTTTACTTACCATGACAACTAGAGGCGAGACATACATAATGATGTTTAGGTCCGCACACAAGAACCCTATGGCGTCAATGTGTACGTCTCCTTGCAACGCCAATTGAGTAACTAATATCGTTGTTGAAACCCACGTCTAGTATCCCCACAAGAGCCATTGTCTTACCATGTAATCAAATTTTGAATCACAGATATGAATTAAACTCGGGTTTTATGTTTCAAGGGAGATCAGAGATGTTACCTTTATCTTTTCTGGTGCAAATATAAGGAACAAGAAAATGTAAATCTCTGATATATGTAATCATATTTGAATCATGGATGATCAATTAAATTCGGGTTTTATGTGTCAACAAGGGAGATCGGAGATGATACCTATATCTTTTATGGTGCAAATATAAGGAATAAGATGATACAAATCTCGGATATACGTAATCATATTTGAATCATGGATGATCAATTAAACTCTGAGTTTTATGTGTCAAATGAGATCGGAGATGTTACCTTCATCTTTTCAGGTGCAAATGTAAGGAACAGGGCGATGCAGACAGTTTCGACGACGATACCAAATCCATTGACAATGGCTACAGGTAATACTCCAAGCTTTGTGATTCCATAGTAAGTCCATAGAGATGAGTTCAGTAATGTGCAAATGTAAGGAAGACTCTCAAACTCTATTGTGGATCTATTTGTCACTATTCTCCAAAAGTACTTCTGCATTCACAATTCTATCATCAACACTAATAACACATTCACACAATGTCTCTCTCTCTCTAAGTTTGAAAGAGCTTACATGGGGGAGAGGAAAACAAGTACCGAGATAATGTTGCCTGCAAGAAGGAAAAACATGAGGTCATTTTCATTTGCATGAATGGATGTTTTATAGACACAACAAAGTATTGTACAAAAAAGAGAAGGGAAATAAACTGATCTCACTCACCTATGACCGCAGCAAAGAAGCTCAATCCTTCCATGTTTGGAAAAACAAACCTCAGAGAGAGAAAACATAATGAGTGGTTGGATGTTTTAAGGGTTAAGGTGGTGAAGAGGGAAACATTATATAGATCTATATAAAGTTACATATCATATATTCATAGGCTTGAATATTTCAACAATATATATATATATATATATAGTTGACTGCCTCACATGTATGCTTTAGAATATTATTGGACATTGCCTATAAACTNATATATATATATATATATATATATATATATATATATAGTTGACTGCCTCACATGTATGCTTTAGAATATTATTGGACATTGCCTATAAACTACACCTATATTCTTTCTTACAAAATGTGTTATTTAACAACTACACCTATATTCTATCTTTTAACCATTATAATGGTTGTTAGTGGAAATATTTATCCACTAGTTATTGCTTGTGCCAGTGGTGGGGGGGTGGTGGTGAAGCGATAGGGATAATGGGTGTAAGGGTGATGGTTGGACAGTGGCGATGGTGATAGGGGGTGGTGGTGGTGGTGGGGTGGTGCCAGTAGTAATGGTGACGGTGCTGATAGAATGGGGCAACAATAATTGTTATGGCAGAGGTGGTGGTGAGGTGACGATAGCGATGATGGTGGTAGGATGGTGGTGGAATAGAGGTGACAGTAGTGGTGGTGGTAGGGGGTGGTATGGTGATGACAACGATGGTGGTGGTAAGGGGCAGGGGGTGGGGGTTGGTAGTAGTGATGACAGTGGTGGTAAGGCAGTGGCTGGTGAGGCAGTGGGTGGGGTGGTGGTGGTGGAGGTGGTAGTGGTACTGGTGTTGATAGTGGGGGATAGTTTGGTGGATGGGTGGGGTGGGGTGGCAGTGGTGGTGGTGGTGGTAGTGGTGATGGTGGTGGGACAATGGGGGTGATGGTGGTGGTGGGGTGGTTCCATATGCTATATTTTTTTTAAAAGTATTTATGAGAAATTATAAGTATTAAAAGCAATTTTAAAAAGTCACCTCAAACTCCCTTAAGGGCTTATTTTCCCTATTTAATTTGGAGTGTTAATATTAGCCATCAGATTAACTTTAAAATAAAATAAAAAAAGATTTCTACAGTGAATAGTAAAAATCATTTTGTTTATCTTTTGACATTTGAATTGTATTGTATTTCATATCCCAAGGTGTTGTATGGCTCACCAGTCATCACTCTCTGGTAGAGGCAATGACTTTTTCNAAACTCCCTTAAGGGCTTATTTTCCCTATTTAATTTGGAGTGTTAATATTAGCCATCGGATTAACTTTAAAATAAAATAAAAAAAGATTTCTACCGTGAATAGCAAAAATCATTTTGTTTATCTTTTAACATTTGAATTGTATTGTATTTTATTATATAGATTATATTGTGTTGTATTATAATCATCTCTCTTGCTCACAATGAGTTGTCTTTCATATCCCAAGGTTTTGTATGGCTCACCAGTCACCACTATCTGGTAGAGGCAATGACTTTTTATGGCTCCAAATGATATTATTAGCACTTTGTTGTTTCTCACATGCCCAAATAGTTGAGCTTTTGCTTTCAGTATACACATTGTATAATTGTAATTCTCTCTCTCTCTCAAACACACTGAATAATTGTCCCAACCAACTTACAAACTTTAGGCCTCTCAAGCACAAGGGGACTCATCGTACCTAACATACCTTTCTCACCCAANATAATTGTCCCAACCAACTTACAAACTTTAGGCCTCTCAAGCACAAGGGGACTCATCCTACCTAACATACCATTCTCACCAAGGGGGATATTCGTTTGATAGGTTTGGGCAGATTTTGAAGGGTGAGTTTAAGTAAAATAGTCTGATATACCACTTAATTGCATGTTTGGTTAGGACTTTTAAACCCAAAAATCATATCTCGACCCGAACAATTAAACCCATGAATATGAGTTTCAACAAACCCATTAAAGGGGTTGAAATTAACCAATTTAGGATATATGGTAAAAGAACTTTTTTATCCCTAATCTAGCCAATTACAATGGATTGGATAAGACAATTTAGTCAATTACATTATAAATATTTTGTTATAATTATAATTAATTTGTAGGTCTCATTTTTGTGTATACTACTTACCAAACACAGGTACAATAGAGAAAGTGGAAGTTGAGTTTGTGAAAATTGGGTAAAACCAATCCAAAGAAAAAAACATGTTCAAAATTTGTTGTATAGTCTTTTGAGTAATGCTATTTAGACCTAAAAATTTGACCTAATTTGCTGACATAATAATATGGCTTAATAGGAATCATTTGATCAACACCAAGTTTTAATATTTGATGGGGCCTACAGTCAATTCAAAGGTCACAGTGAATTAGGTCAGCAAATTAGGCCAATTTTTTCGGTCTCAATAGAATTGCTCGTCTTTTTATACGAGGTGGACCCCATTTTTTTGTTTTTATTTTCATGGCCCCATTTTCTCATCTACGGGCCCATTGCATGAATCATGTTTTCCACTTTACTCTCAGCAATTTTGTTTTTCTCAATTATATAGTTGATCAAGGGTAGCACCAGAAGCAAGACCAAACAAACACCTGGAGCACCACCAAGGGAATCCAACCAGTGTTGAGAAGGCAGACATTTGATTTCCTATCAGAATTTAATCATTACGTCACCCAAATCAATTATACTTTTTCATTTGCCTTAATGTAATTTTTAACGGTTGACTTAACCTTTAAAACTAATGGGGCTTTGATCTAATGATATTTCTCATCTTGTAAAAATTTTATTTTCTTGAGGTCAAACGTTCAAATCCCTTAGGCGACAAAAAGTGTGATTTGTGTCAATTGTTTGAACGAACCATATCCAAACCTCTAGTGTGAATTCAAATCCCCTCCAAAATGTAAATCTTGATTTAACTAATGTAAGACTTAAGAGATTGAGCGACATAAACACATTTACTCACCATGGACAGACCATAGATTTCTCCTACTATCCAAAAAACCTTAACCTTCAAAACTTATATTTTTTAGGGTAAACTACATAAATGGCCCCTGAACTTTTCTAATTTTTTTAAATTGCCCTCTGAACCTTCATTTTTTTGATTTTATCCCCTAAACTATTTAAATCATTTTAATCAACATCTTCCGTTAGATTTCACCGTTAACTATGGACAAAAATCAAGTGACAAATGCAGGTGGCATTTATTGAAGGTCATTTTCGACATTTCACCTATTGTGTATGTGTTTTAGGCGCCCAAAATTCCCTCCCTTGATGCTCTGTTCCTAGACGAAATCCCTTCATCTCCTACATTCAACGACTGAAGCATAATGTCTTGGTTAAGGTTAGAGTTTTGTGTTCCTGATTCTCATATTGAATGCTGTGAATAGGCGACCTTTCATCTCATTCCCATCTCCTACATTCAACGACTAACTAAACCAGAATGAGTTGGTTATTGCGGACAGCGGGTGTTATCTTCCATCCACAACAAGTCTATAGTAAGAATTGCATCTCATACCTGTAGCTTTGGTTGTTTGGTGTTGGGTATTGGGTATTAGAATAATTTTCGTGTTGTTGGCTTTTCGTGTTGGGTATTGGGTGTTATGTATTGTGTTCCTTAAAGAAATCAGGTACTGTGTTCCTTACTGAATTTGGTTGTTGGAAGCATATGCCCTTACCGAATTGTTTTAATCCTTACAGAATTCTATACATTCTGTGGGGCATATGCCCTTACCATTATGGTGGTAAGTTCAAGCATATGCCCCACAGAATGTACTTAGGAGAAAAAGTTAACCATTTTGATTTGTGTGATGTTGATAAAATCTCTGTCCCTAAGATAAGTGAAATGACAAAAGAATTACAGTGTGAGGTGGTTACTCGTTATCACTATAGAGTTCCTAGAATGAATCTCACTGATTGTTTGAGGGTGTTGAATAATTACACTGATGTATTAGGAATGGTAGAGTTGGTTCCTAAGAACAAGGTAATAGAAGTATACCTGGAACATGACTTGGTTGACGAAGAATATGATGCACAGGAAGAATATGATGCACAAAAAGAGTATGATGCAGTTGATGGTGATCATTCCAATGCATCAAATTATGAAGAAGTGTCTAATAGTGGTGAGGAAGAAACTGATGATTACTTATTTGACACATATGTAGACAACCTGGCTGAGTTTGGTGGTTTGGATGAAGATACAAACATGAGGCAACAATGCACAAATAATAGTGAACATGCAATGGACACAGATGTCCTCTCTATGATGATGCTACTTCTGATGAAGTTAGAATGATTTTGAATTCATTTGATGATGATGCAGTGGAAAGTTCATCTAAACCAAGACCAAGATATGCAAAATTTAGTGCAAAGAAAGACGTGGAACATCCTGAATTCAAGTTGGGTATGTTGTTTGCATCATCGCAGCAATTTAAGCAAGTTGTTAAACATTATGCCATTTGGAAAGGGAAGGACAAAAGGTTTTTCAGAAATGAGAAGCACTGGGTCAGGGCTAAGTGCAAGCCACCTTGTGAGTGGATGATATTTACATCAAAGGTCCAAGATAAAGATACATTGCAAGTGAAGACATTTAATGATGAACACACTAACTGCAACTGGTCATGGCATAACAGGTATGTAACAGCAAACTGGCCATCTAAAAAATACATGCACAAGATTAGATCAAATTCTGAATGGCCATTACAAGTCTTTAGGGAAGCTGTGGAGGAAGAACATCAGGTGGGTGTGTCCATGAATGTGGTGTGGAGAGCAAAAGAAGCTGCTAAAAATGTTATTCAAGTGAATCACAAAGAACAGTACAAGAAGATATGGGATTACTGTGAAGAAATAAAAAGAACACATCCGGGGTCTACTTTAGTTGTAGCTTACGAACAAATCAACCCTGGGGAAGTGAATCAAAGGTTCAAAAGATTTTACTGTTGCTTATAGGACCTTTGAAAGAAGGATTTATACAAGGTTGCAGGACATATATAGGCATAAATGACTACCACTTGACAGGCCCCTACCCTGGACAACTATTATCAGCA